GGGCATGCACGCAAAAACACCACACATGAGTTTCAAGCCACCAGGTCTCAAACCATGGTCAGTGATGTGGGAGGGAGTCCAGTAACGCAACCACTACACCATCTGCTGGTCCTGCAGGTTATCTTTTTTCCTTAAATTATTTTCTTATTAATTTCTTCCATGAGAAAAGGGGGCACCACCAACAGGGTCCTCACACTGCAATGCACACCAGTCTGAGTCAGCCCAGATCAGAGGCAGGTGCACCCGGTGTAGACAGGGCAGCCCCAGAGTACAAACCAGGGACCTCTCTATGGGTCCAGTTCTGTTACCACCATGCAACTGTCTGGTCCTCACTTTTATTTGTTTAGAGAGATTTTTTTGCTACAAGACATGGGTGCTTGCCAAAGAGACAGAGGGAGACAGACAGAAAGTGAGAAATCACCCCCCAGGAGGGATGGCCATGCTGAAATCCCTTCTCCTCCATTCTCCTCTCAGGATTTTGGGCACACACACACATGCGCCCGGCATGGAACCACGGTCGACTATGTGGGAGTCCAGCGACATAGCCATTATGTTATCCAATGGTCCCGTGGTCCTCACTTTTTTTAATAAGAGAGAGAGAATGCAGGAGGGAGAGACAGGTATTTTATGTATGTATTTATTAATTTATGTATGTATGTATGTACATACGGCGCATATTAATTTGCCAGAGGGTGCATGCACTCACTAGAGACGGGGAGAGTGAATATGAGAAACCACCCTCCAGGAGGACAGTCACGCTGCAATCCCTTCTCTTCCATTCTCTTAGGATTTGGGACATGCACACACACATGCCCAGCATGTTTTTCAAGCCTCCAGGTCCAGGACACAAACCTTGCAGTTGGTCATGTGGGATCCAGCTGCCTTACCTTCCACACCACCAACTGGCCTGAAGCAGGCATTTTTGACAGAGTCTCACCATGCTGAGTCTTCCTGTCCCAGGCCCCTGGGTCAGCTGGGACCTCGGGCTTGTTAGGTTGGGCCAGGAGCCAAACCCAGGCCTCCATGTGGTCCTAGCCATCATGCATGTGCACCTGCCCACTGTGCCACCATGGCTGGGCCATTAGCAAATCATCTAATAGTAGCTGTTGTGAATTCTGGGGAAAAACTCTTCTCCCGGAGCACTTCCCTCCTTCCCCTGACTTCATAAACCCAACTTTTTTCAGAGTAATGGCCTCTCTTTTCCCCTTCTCAAAATTTGATTTACTTGGTTTCTTGAATTCATCTTTTTTTTTTTTTTTAAGAATTGTTTTATTTTAAAAAAAAGAAGAAGAATTGTTTTATTTAGAGGCTGCAGAAGATACCTTCACGGCTCCTGAGAACTAGTGAGTTCAGGGAATAAAGAAATGAAGATTTTCTACTGATAATTCAGCCTCAAGCTCACAAATCCAGTGATTGAACTTCATGTTTTGGAAGAAACACACTTTCCATCAGATGACTAGAAATCACTGCAGGACCACAAGAAATATGGGAAAGCAAGAAAATACCTCTCCTGGGACCAGCAGTTAGCGTAATGGCTATGTCGCTGGACTCCCACGTAGTCGACCGCGGTTCGAGTCCCGGACCCGGTGGCTTAAACTCACACCAGGCGCGTGTGCGTGCGTGCCCAAGATCCCGAGAGGAGAATGGAGGAGAAGGGATTGCGGCGTGGCCATCCCCCCTGGGGGGTGATTTCCTGCTTTCTATCTCTCTGTCTCTGTCTGTCTGTCTGGCGAGCGCACGTGCCCTATAGCAAAAACCTCTCCAAAAAAGAAATTCTTGCAAGATCTAAAAGAGGAATTACATACTTTACAAAAGAATCAAATGGAACTGTTAGAGATGAAGACTATAATATAGGAAGTCAAAATCTCTCTTGAAAGTATTAAAAGCAGACTAAATCATACAGAAAATAGAATCTCAGACACAGAAGAGAAAATTGCTGGCCTAGAAAAATCCACCACGAAGACTGAGAAAATTGCCCCCAAAATAAGAATAACATACGAGAAATACTAGATACCATCAAACGTCCAAACATCCGGATTATTGGCATCCCAGAAGGCAAAGAGACTCATAAGGGCATTGATAATCTATCCCATGAAATCCTGCAAGAAAACTTTCCAAACCTAGAGAGACACTCAAAGATCCAGTCCCAAGAAATACAAAGGACCCCAAATAGAGTCAACCCAAGATCTTCTTCAAGACACGTTATAGCCAGACTGACCAAAACCACAGATAAAGACAAGATACTAAGATTGGCAAGAGAGAAACGGCAAGTTACCTACAAAGGATATCCCATCAGACTAACAGCAGACCTCTCATTGGAAACAACGCGAGCAAGGAAAGAATGGGAAAATATATTCAAAGTGTTAAGGGAAAAGCAATTTCAACCCAGAATTACTGTACCCGGCAAGATTATCCTTCATATGGGAAGAAAAGACAAGAACATTCTCAGAAAAACAAAACCTGAAAGAATTTACCAGCACCAGGCCAGATCTCCAAGAATTTCTCAAGGTAGTGCAATTCCAGGAAAATTAAATGTAGTCATACAGAAATAGGAGTTCAAAAACTAAGAAAATGGCCAACTTAATCATACGGACAAGTCTGGAGTTGAATATTATATCCCAGAATTCAACTGGGAAGATTGAACCACAACAGAAGATAGATTAAGTACATGAGACTGAACTGGTGAAATAGCATTCTGTGACTTTTGACTAAAATGTTGCTGCTTTTCTTCTAGGCTTTGTTGTCCAGTTTTAAGAGTTTGTGTCCTGTCCTGAGCTGTCAATAGGTTCATGTACCTACTGTTTGAACAGAATACTAACCTGTTTCCAGGCTTTAAGTTCTAAGCAAATTTTCTTACCAATTCAAAACTGCTTTTCTTGAAATTACCAGCTGAACTTGCTATTGAAAGCAGTTAGATTATGTAAGAAATTGTGGGATCAGTAAAATGTGGGGGGAAAAGGAATGGAAGACAACTGTAGACACCAGAGACAGTGTAAGAAGAGGGTGGGAAAGGGCAGAGGGTCAGACATAGTGTATATATATGAAACTAGAAATGGAAAATTATTGATGATAACATACATGATTAAGTCACTGTGCAGTGTATTCTGGATGGGAAACCACTTTTAGTATGCTGTGATGATGGTTATGGGATAAATGTAAATTAATTAATTTTAAAAAGTTTCAGGAGGAAAAAATAATTGTTTTATTTAATTTTACTTATTTTTAAGAAGAATTATTTATTTAATTCAATTTGTTGTTATTACTTTTTAATCTGACCAGAGAGAGACAGAAAGAGTGAAAGCGAAAGGAAGAAAGCGAATCACCAGGTTCGGGACTCGAACCACAGTTGGCCATGTGGGAATACAACACTTTTAACCACCACACCACCTGCCAGCTCTTGTCATTGTTATTTATTTATTTATTTTAATATGAGCAGAGAGAGACACAGAAAGAGAAAGAGGGAAAGTAAGAAAGCAAGCTGCCAGGTTCGGGACTTGAACCACAGTCAGCACCCCAACCACTAAGCCATCTGCCAGCCCCATCTTGGACTAATCTTTTTCATAATCTTTTTCACATATGAATGTAGGAAAGAGGCCATGTACAAATACATTAAAACATACTGAAAAGTACAAACGAGGCCCAGTAGGTGGCATGGTGGTTAAGACAGCTGGGTCCCACATGGCCAAACCCACGATTTGAGTCCTGGACCTGCAGGCTTGAAAATCACAGCGGGCACATGTTAGTGCATCCCCAAAATCCTGGGGGAGAACGAAAAAGGAATCGTGGCAAGGCCATTCGCCCTGGGGGATAATTTCTCACTACCCCCACACACCCGGTGAGTGCACACACTCTATGGTAAAACTTTAAAAAAAAGAGAGAATATGTTCCAAATTGACCTTAAGATTTCCCCTGCTCCCATAAAAACACTGTTCTTTTCAGGCTTCTCATGCAGAAGGGCAGGGAAATTTCTCTTCCTGTCTGGTTCATTGCTACATCCTCAGCACCTAGGACGCTACTCAGCATGTAGGTGGTGCCCAGTAAGGGCATGTGCACTTGCCAGAGAGACAGAGAGAGATGGAGAGGAGAAATCATTCCCCTTGGGGTGTGGTCACACCACACAATCTCTTCTCCATTTCCTACCCTGTTGGTATTTGGGGCACACACACACACACACACACACACATTGCCTAGCATGTTTTCTGCCAGGGCCAGGACTTGAACTGCTCAGGTGGCTATGTGGGACCCAGCTGTCCTAACCACCAGGCCACACAGGTTGATCCATGTTATATCGTTTCTATAAGTGACTTGATTGAAGTGGGCCTAGAGGCATTCACAGCCAGGAACAGGGCCCAGAGGCCATGGGTCCTCACCTCCACCCTCCATGGCCCTACCCCACCCCCACGCAGCGTGCACATGCTCACACACAGGTTACCACTTACGCTGGGAGCAGTCAGGGCCTGTCCAGCCAGGCAGGCAGTAGCAGGTCCCATCCGAGGGGTGGCAGGAGGAATGGTTAGCGCACTTGCAGGGCATGCAGCGTTTGCCATAGCGGCCGGGCTGACAGGCTGGAAAGAAGGGGTGTGTGGTGACTGGGGGAAGGGGCCAAGCCTTGATCAGTCCTCACCCTCACTGTCTCCCTCCCTCCTTCCACTGTGGAGCTGGCCTCAAGACTGGAGTCAGAAGGAGACCAAGAGGGGTAGGAGTGGGGGCTTCTGCCTGTGACGCTGCACTGCATCCTCCTGCTGGCCGGCTGGGCAGGGGCAGTAGGGAGCCTCACGTCTCTGACACGATGGGCCTCGAAATCCGGGTGCACACACACAATTGCCATTCTCGGGGAGGCAGGTGCCCCCATTCTTGCAGGTGCAGGTGTTGCTGCAGTTGGATCCCCAGAAGCCCTCAGGGCAGGGCAGGTGGCAGCGGGTACCTATGGGAGAGAACAGGGGAGTGACGCAGCCTGGGCCCTGCCCTCCCACGGGGCTCTCCTGCACACAGTTCCTGTGGGAGGCATTCCCCAACGCCATGGTAGGCTTGCGGCCCTGGTACCTAGAATGCTTACCCATCCAGCCAGCCTGGCACTGGCAATGTCCATGAACAGGGTCACAGCCATCCGAGTGGTCACAGTCACAGTGACTCCCACAGCCTTCACCAAACTGCCCCTTCTTGGAGAGGGAGTAGAGGACAAGGTAAGCCGGTCAGCCAGGGGTGCCATGCCCTCCCCCCGCCCGGCAATCAGGTACTCACTGGGCAGGGCAGCTGGCAGTGGATCCCGTGCCACCCAGGAGTGCAGGTACAGGCTCCAGTTTGAGGGTTACAAACTGCCCCATGGGCACACTGGCAGCTGGCATTGCAACTGAAGCCCCAGGTTCCAGGCGGGCAGGGCACAGAACAGTTACCGCGCTGCCAACCTGGAAGAGAAGGCTCGTGGGTAGGCATGGGGACCTAACTCCCCTCCCGAGCAAGCACACACTGGGCGTTGGCCAGGCCAGGCTCTGTGCTGTAAACTGGGGATGTGAGTGATCATGGCACCACTTGAGAGACGATGCTATAAACCAGTAGATGTTGAATAGAGGCTAAACGACTTCCTTCCAGTGCGGCACACCCACACTGGGTCTTGGTTGCCTCTCCTGTAAAATGAAGGGAGCCGGCAACAAGCCCAGTTGCTTACAGAGGTCTGGTCAGGTAACTAAACAAGTTAACCAGATCAGGTGCAAGACTATAGGGAGGAGTGGGGACTTGAGGGTTTTTCTGTTGTTGTTTCAGAGCATTTTGCTTTAGTGTGTGTGCGCTCGCCAGAGAGGCACAGAGACAGTGACAGGGAAGGTGAGAAATCACTCCCCACCCCGGGAGGTGGGGGAGTGGTGGCCACACTGCAATCTCTTCCCCTCCACTCTCCTCCTGGGATCTTGGGTACACAAGCACATGCACCAGCGTGACTCGCCCAGCATGACTTTCAAGTCACCGGTCAGAGATTCGAACTGCACTCGGCTATGTGGGAGTCTGGCAACGTAAAAACTATACCATCTGCTGGAGATTTGTTAAATTTCACAGAGAGCTAGCCAAACCAAACACATCTGTATCAGAATTCAGCCCAAAGGTTGCCCAAGTTCCACCCCTGGTAGAGCTGGGAGGCCCTTCCTGGCGCTGCCATGGCTGGTTCAGTATGACTGAGGGTGAGGAATGCTCACCAACCAGGTGCCTTCTGGCCTGGGCCTTTAAGGAAGAGTAGGATTTTTGTGATTGAAGAAAAACAAAGTGGACATTCCAGGAAGGAAGTAGCCTGGATACTTGCCCACCGTCCAGCTGCTGCTCCGAAAGCTCCGCCCTTACCCTGCAGCCTCTCTCCCGCCCAGGTCGACCCCTACTCTTGGACCCGCCCTTCTTCCCGTAGCCGCACCCCCAAGCCCGCCCCTCCAGAGATCCCATCCCATTACCTTCCTTGCAGACGCACGCGCCGTCGATGGGCGAGCAGGCGATGGCGTTGTCGCAGGAGCAGCGTGCGGAGCAGTTGACCCCATAAGTGTCCGGGGGACACAGGCTAGCGCAGTGAGGGCCCTGAGGGCGGGTGAGCGGGCGGGTGCGCACGTGAGGGGGCGGCTCCTGCCCATCCCCGCCCCCCGCGCCCTCCTGGCTGGGGCGAGGCTCACCGTGTAGCCGGGCGCGCACCGGCAGAGGCCGCTGTCGGCCAGGCAGACGCCGCCGTGCAGGCAGAGGCAGTGCTCCTGGCAGCCCGGCCCGTGCGTGTCCTGCGGGCAGCTCTCATTGCAATGGAGGCCCGCCCAGCCCGGCAGGCACGAGCACTCCCCGTTCATCGGGTGGCAGCTGTGGGCGGAGGGGGCCGCGGGGCGGTCTGAGCTGGGGTCCACAG